AGAGAGGCTCAGAGTGACGCAGCGTGAGAAAGATGCACCCAATGCTGTTGGCCTCGAAAAGGTGGAGGAAGAAGCCACATGCCAAGGCATGTGGGCAGCGTCCAGCCGGAGAAGATGAGGAAACAGACTCTTTCCTGGAGTCTCCAGTGGGAGTCGGCCCTCCTGACACCCTGACCATCGACCAGTGAGACTCGTGTCAGACTTCTGCCCCCAGAGCTGTAAGAGAATCAGTCTGTGTTTTTGCACCATTAAATTTGTGGTAATTTGTTATAGCAGCAATTTAAAAAGAATAAAGGGTCTCACACAGTCACTGAGCCGCTTGAAGTATCTCGCTGGAACGATTTAACGTGAAGTGCCTGCAGAGAGAGGGAGTCTGTGCCAGACTGAGAAGGAAGTGTAGGGTGTGATCTGCCTCCTCCAGGGGAACCGGACAAAGGGTGACCTGCACCAGGGACGTGTTAACTGTGGCTTCCTAAAGAATTACAGTTCCATGGCTTTTAAGAAGAGCTGCTAACTCAGACTTGGCTAATAAATTTTGCTGTTAAGGTTTTTAGGGGTCATGAGTAAAAAAAAATAGGGTTCGAGTTGTAATTGGAATATTGTAAATGTTTTTACAGAACTGCAGTTCCTTTCCCAAATGACTGGATTTGGAATCAGTGTGATTTCATGGTAACGTTCAGTTGTATGCGGCTGTTCAGGTGTTGTCGATGGGCTCCTGGGGCCGGGGCTGTTCGAGTGAAATGGTTTTTCTCAGCCTTGCGTGAACAGCACTCCCTGAGCAGGAACACTCGCAGGTACCAGGTGTGTCAGCACAAGGCTGAAAACTGGTCTCTTTCCTTGTCTCGCCTTTGGCTGCCTGGGGCTTGAGAAACACTTCACTTCTTTGCCTTTTTCCACCTGTTTACCACCACCCCTAACCACCCACTGCTATCATCTTTTTATTTAATTGTAAAATATACATAAGTAAAATTTACCGTCTTAACCCTTTTTAAGTGGACAGCTCAGTACATTAACTACATTCCCATTGTACAGCATCACCACCATCCAACCACAGAACTTCTCCGTCCTCCCAAACCGACACTCTGTACCCATGAAACGCCAACTCCAGTCCCTCCTCGCCCCAGCCCCTGGCACCCTCTATCCTACTTCCTGTCGCTCGGAGTCTGATGACTCCAGAGACCTCATGTAAGTGGAAGCACATGGTATTTGTCCTTTGAGACCGGCTTATTTCACTCAGTACAATGTTTTCAAGGTTCACCCATGTTGTAGCATGTGGCAGAATCTGGGTGCTTCTGACAACCGAGTGATATTCCCTTGTGGTCATACCATGCTTGGTTTACACATTCATTCATCCTCCCGTGGACACTTGGGTTGCTTCGACCTTTTGGCTGTTGTGAATAATGCTGCTGTGAACCTGGGCGTGCAGGCATCTTACCATCACCATGTCTTAAAAATCCATCAAGTGTCAGAATGACAAATAGCTACTGAGTCCAGCAAGATGCCACGGCCTAGCTGATTCCTGGCCAAGGCTGCTGACCGAGACTCAGCTCAGACGTCACCTCCCCTGCACTCTGACCCTGAGGCAGAGTGAAGCACCTCCTCCTAGGACCCCGCGGCCTGTGCTCACCTCCACCTGGCAGGGAGCCACCTGCTGCTGGTCTGGCCAGGTGTCGGGCTCCTGGGGACTGTGCCACTCTTGCACCTGTGTATCTAAAACCCTGGGCAGAGCTGGGACGCAGGAACTGGGGGAGGAAGGAGGAATATGAAGTGAGGGGTGTGCCCCGAGCTACCTGGTATGTGACCTGCAGCTGTGACACATCCATGCTCCTTTCTCAACCAAGAGACTCTCATGGTCCCACGTGGTGGGGTCCGGTAGAGCTTGTTTGAATCCCAGCCGCTCCCGGGAAATGGGAGCTCATCAGCATACCTGGCAATGACCATCAAACTCTGAGGGAGTAGTGGGGGTAGCCCCTTTCCACAGCCTCAGGAGAGGGGTGGATGGCGGAGACCCCCCGCTCAGGAGTGGAGCGGTCACACACGGCTCCATCCGTGTCCACCTGTGCTGGGGGCCGTGCCGTCCCTCCCTCTGCAAGGCCCTGGGCAGCAGCAAGGAGGGAGATTGTGAGGATGCTTCTGGAAAGCGTTGGATGGCAGGAAGGAGAGCTGCATGGGCTGTTTTCCATTCTGCCAGCAGAGGCAAAGGAGAGAAGAAGCTGGAAGGCCATTCCCTGCAGCTCTGAGGGAGCCTCGCCTGTGAAGCCTCGCCCAAGTCAGTTTCTGCAAATTGCCCAAATCGAGAAATCATTTTTGTGGGGAACCTCTCAAATACACAAAATCTTTTTAATGAAATTGTTTTTTTTCACATTCCTCTTGATTCTCTTTCCCTGCAGACCTGACTTTTCAAGTCAGTGATGGGGCAGGAGGTATAGACACGTGTGGACCACAGTCACCAACCAGGTTCACCAGACATGCCCTGGTCGTGTGCCCAGAAATGGAGGCACGTCCTGTGGCCATGGCATGTACTTCCAGGCAGGTGATGTTCCCACGAGCATGACCTTGGGGTCCTGCTTCTCGGGCTCAGACAGGAGCAGATTCAAAGCTGTTTTCACAGCTGAGGTCAGCACAATAGCTACAAACCGGTCTCACCCCAAAGCCTGACATTTATATTCACAAAGTCAATTGCAAAAGGGCAGGACAGAGGAGACCGGGCTGGGAGTCAGTTCATAAGAGACAGAAAGAAGGCAGGTGTGGGGAGGGAATAGATCTAACAGAGACATAATCCGGCCACTTAAAATATAGAAATAAGGGTGCAATGAAGACAGATTCTCCATTTAAAGCAAGAGAAAAATCATCACATTCATTCCTGCTACTTCTGGACTACATCTGGACCATTTTGTCCATTGCAAGGAACAGTAGTACTGATTAGGGAATGGAATGGGAGAAATTGAAAATCTGCCATATGCTCACTATTTTGATCAAGAGAAGAGAAAACCTAAAGGGGAATAAGAAGAGCTATTTCACATATTTAAGAAGGCATCTGGGTTACTCCAAAGACAGAAATAGGAAAAACATGTGTAAAATTTACTTCACTTCTTTTAGTGTTGTTTGCACAGTTGTCAGTTGCTGAGATGGGAAACTCGTGTGCTGCCGTCTGGGAGTTCGTCATCTCCTACCAAAAAGATGATGACTGCAATAATAGCTAAAAGTTGTATGCGTTTGCACGTGCCAGGCAACGTTGTGAGCAGTTTACGGGCGATACGCCGCTTGTCCTCGTAATTGCTCCCCAAGCAGGCATCGCCATTCCCAGCCCTGCCATGAAAGCAGTCTGTCCAAAAAGAGCATCACTTGAACAAAAGAGCAGGCCCTCGGAGCCTGAAGACAGGAGGGATGAGTCAGCCAAGGGGATTGGAAATTAGTTCCAGAGGAGGTGGCCTGGGACGAGGAGGACCAGCGTGGGGTGAAGGGGCAGAGCCAGGCAGCTGTCTTCTCAGTACTAGAGACACCTGCCCACACCCAGCTGCTTCAAGCCACTGCCACGTCTCTCCTAGACCCTCGCAGGAGTCCCCTCCCTGGTCTCGCCGCCACCCACTATAAACTGGTATCCACACAGAGCCACAGTGGCCCTCCCGGAGCATGTCACTCCTCTCTCAAAACCTTCCAGGACACCGTCTTATTCGAACAAGAGCCACAGGGGCTGGCCTGGACCCAAGCGTCTCACCTTCTGCCTCCCAGATCCCACCTTCTCCTCTCACTCCCCTGCTGCCTCCCTCCGCCAGCCGCGCTGGACTCCTTGTCGCTGCCCCACCAGGGCCTTCACACCCATCGTGCCCCCTGCCGGGCAGCCTTTCTCCAGGTGGCCGTGGGCTCCCTTCCTCCCAGGCTCTGCTCAGATGCCAGCTTACCAGCGAGGCCTTCCTCACTACTGTGTAAAACAGCGCTCACCCCACCTAGTCCCCGTTCTGCCTAATGCTGCTGGACTTGTCCCTAATGCACTTGTGACCAGGTGGCCAGGTCTCTATTTGTAGGTAGCATGTACGTTACATGTGCTGTGTTATGTTGTGTTGATTTGTTCACTGGTTTACTGTCCATCCTGTTAGAACGTAAGCTCCCAAGGGCAAGGACTTTGTTTCAGTCACTGCCTGATCGTCAGAACCCGGACCCTGCCCAGGCACAAGGGAGGCCCTCTGTGGTGTGTGGGTGGGAGGCTGAGCAGGTCAGCCGGAACAGGACAGCAACGGGTGCTGGCACCATGCGGTGCCCACTCGAAGTGCCCTGCAGAAGGGCAGGTGCCTCAGATGTTCCTAAACAGTGCGGCAGCTCAGTGTGGTCAGGTTTGGTTTTGGGTGGAATTCAGGACTGTTTTGACTAATGAGGAAGAGCCGAATGGCCGTCAGACCCAGCCCTCCAGGACAAGGTGCCTTGTCAAGTGCTGAGCTCCTGGGAGCAAGGACTGTTGGAGGCGGGACAAGAGAAGGTAAAGTTGACTGGCTCAGCGAGGGACCAAGTAGGCGACATATCAGTGTCACACAACAGTGTCGTGTTGTGTCATTGCAGAGCACAGGCTGTGTTGGGACTTGCTGTTCTCCTGGCAGAGGGCAAGAAAGAAAGGATCAGCGCCAAACCACACAGCCACATTCAGAGCCTCTGCCAGGACGTGGCCAGCAGCACTGTCCACTCACGCCCTGCATCTCCTATGGCAACCGGGATATGGAATGCCACTCCTGGGAGGGAAGTGACCAAACAGCTCCATCTGCTGTAAGGTGCCACGTGCGGAAAGAATGTGTGTGCAGAGGAGAACGCTGAGCCAGATGTCCACTCAGCTCAGCCCCTCTGCTCTGATGATCCAGCATTATTTGCAAAGTTAATTACAGAGCTCCCTAAATCTGCCTCCCTCTCTCCTTCCACGGGCCCTGGATGTCATGATCCGTCTGGAAGACCCTCTGGGGAAGCTGGCCTCTCGCCCCATTCATTCTCTCTCTCTCTTTCCTCCCTTCTGGCAGGTGGGTGGCAGGCCCGTGGAGCCCCTGCTCGGCGACCTGCGAGAAGGGCTTCCAGCACCGGGAGGTGACCTGCGTGTACCAGCTACAGAATGGCACCCACGTCGCCACACGGCCCCTGTACTGCCCAGGTCCCCGGCCAGCGCCTGTGCAGAGCTGCGAAGGCCAAGACTGCCTGTCCATCTGGGAGGCGTCTGAGTGGTCACAGGTGGGTGCCTCGGCTTGCTGTTGACGCTGAAACCACAGTAAGGTCTCAAGCCTCATCTGCAGGGACCCTGACATGGCACCTGTCTCCCCCGGTGTTTGTGACACATTCCTGTGCCTCACGGCCCTCGCCCGCCCACAGGCCTGCTCAGAGTTATGTTCTAGCGTGCATATTCTCACATTCAATTTGACATAACAGCGTGGCTGCAAAAGCACGCGTACATATGGTACGTACCATGCATTCATGTTTTTGATGACATGTATGTTGACACCCCAGTGGAAGTGTTATTTGAGCCCACGCCCACAGCCTGGGAATATGATTCTATCTTTGGTGATGTCATCCTTCAGGGCTTTGCATTGACTGCATCGATACTGATTTCGATTGGCTATAAAGCAACAAGAGACAGCTGAGTAAAGAGCAGGCTTCCCCCAGGTCTTCCACCCACTGTAGTCTGGGGAAGCTCAAAAGGGCTCCATTCAAGACACTCTTCAGTGTAGAAAATATTTTGGAAGTTCCCTTTTATTGCCAAACAGTTGGAATTATTCTAAATAAAAAAATAGCCCATTTTAGTGAACAAAAAGTTTGCCACTAAACTTTGCTCTAAAACTGAGTTTAATTTTCAGACAGATCTTGACATGCATTCATTTAAAGATCCAAGTGTTTACCATTTCTGATATTTTAGGAAAAGAGGAGAGTTTAAATTTTTTTTTACTATATGTACTTAAGTTTGTAAGTTTAACATTCAAGCGACTTTTTTTTTTCTGGACGAGTAGAGGCTGCATCAGTCCCTTCCCTTTCCCCTTCCCAGGTGACCATAGGGCCTTGATGGCCTGGTTCTTGGTCTAAACAAGATTCATGCTTTAACCAGATCAAAACCATACATATTCCACTCAGACACTCATGGGGAAAAAAAACGCCTCCTACCAATCCTGATGTCATCACGTATCGTTATGACACTGCCGATCACAACGTTTGGAAAACGTGAGACAATTGGAGCAATAGTTAAAGAAATTTCTATATGTTTGTTATCTCTGTGTATATGTAATGCTAATCCTGAACTAGTGTCCACACCAGTCAGCCTAGTGCCAGCTTAGCCACCGGCTTGAGCAAAAGGCTTCCTTCTAAACATTTAACTTGGAATCAAACCATTCCCCTGTGAGAAGCTCACGAAACTGGTATTTCTGCTGCGTCCCCACGTGCTGAGCCTTTCCTCTGCTGTAAGCAAATGGGTTTCATTCCTTGTGGGCAGGTATTTATTGATGGCTTTTGTTCAGCCAGCAGTGTTGATCGCTCACTTCCTACACCCCAGCTGCTTCCTGACTTTATTAGAAGGAGGATCAAATATCCAGAAGGAAGCAGGTGGGGAGTCCCTCCTGCCCTCAGCCGCCAGGCCCCCATCCCTGATGGGGAGCAAAGACAGAACCCCAACACGGCCCCTCCTGGGTCCCTTCGGAGGTGGTGTCGGCCAGCAGCACTGCCCTTCCCCAGGGACAAAGGCTGCCTGCGAATGGGCCGCTGGTCAGAGGGGGCCGAGCCTAGGTTTGCTCGAGAAATGGACTGGAAGTTCAGTGCTTGAAGTGCAAGACAAAGGAGCAGAGTCCAGCAGATAAGGTCCCTTTAAAGCAGCCCCTCCCCCCACGCCGGCTCTGCCCACTCCCCCAGGGAACGTCAGCCTTTCTGAAGCGTGTACATTTCTTCTGACACAAACCAGTCTAGATTAGTCTTGAAAGACAATCCCCCAGGACATCAGACGGAGCACTGAAACGAATTCATGGGAAAGAGAAAGCTAGATACTATTGCGGGCTAAAGGTTAAGGACAGAAATATCGAGAATAACATTTGTCCTTTGTGGACCTTTTCTTCAGTGGACACAGTGGAACGTTTTTTAAAAAATTGAGTTTGTTGTAACTCTGAGACATTCCTGTCACCTGCCATATTTTTGGTAAACTGAGCAAGTATGAAGTCTCCTTGGCAGAATCCAGCCTTCAGCCCACGGAGTTACGTGTTTGCATCCACGATGGGGACAGGCCCTCGCAAGGAAGTCACACGCCGGTCCACACACAGCAAGTCAGAGGGCGGGCTCCCTGGGCCAGCTCCTACGCACTTGCCAGGTTTGCCCACCGCAAGGCCAGGTGTCGGCTCTGCCGGGCTTCCTGCTCCTTTGGTTTTGGAGATGGGAAGCGTTCCTGCCTGCCTGGGCACTGTCTCTCCCGGAACCCCTCTGTGGAGTGTGCCGGCAGCGGACTCCAGACGCCTGCCTGTGTACGTCCTGCTGTCTCTCATTGCTCCCTCGCGCTGCCTGGGGGCATGGGAATGCTGACCTCTCGAAACCTTGCACGGCTTCCTCAGCTCTCAGGCCCCACCCGGGTCCCTTCCCCACTGCCCCTTGCCAGGTCTCCCAGGAAGCAAGTAAACGAGCACCGGGAGCATTCCTCTGCCACCATTCTTGGTGTCCACGTTAAAACACTCCCTGGCGCTCTCTGGGAGGCTTGTCCCTGCCTCGGGGGAAGGTTACCTGTGGCTTTGCTTTCTGTCTGTCTCCTCCTCCTCCTCCCTGGATCAGGCCTGCGCCTAAGGCTGGCCCAGGCAAGGCAGGTGGGAGGTTCCAGGGCTCAGCCTTCTTTGCTCTGGGGACGTCACCTTGCTCCAGCTGTCCCCTGTCCTCCACTCTACTTGTGACTCCTCCAGCAACTGCCCTTTGAACTCATGCACTGCAGTGGTCTTTTGGACCTAAGGTGGCCACTGAACTGCACTCCCCTCATTTGACCTTCTGGCCACCCCATTTCTTCCCCCTCCTGACTCCTGTGTCCCTCCCCCATACTGGCCTCTCAGACACGTAAGACTCTGCAGATTGAGCTTTTTGAGGTCCTTACCTTTGCATCTCCACACCAGGTGTGGCACACAGTAGGGACTTAATAGGTGTTAATGGACTTGAACCAAATCAGACTGGATTAAACATCCCAACCGTGTCTTGCAGTGTTCTGCCAACTGTGGTAAAGGGACTCGGAAACGGACAGTGACATGCACCAACTCCCAGGGGAAATGCGACGCGTCCATGAGGCCGAGAGCCGAGGAGGCGTGTGAGGACTACTCGGGCTGCTACGAGTGGAAAACCGGGGACTGGTCTAAGGTGAGGACAGCACGCTGGCATTGCCGTCCGCCACCGCAACACAGGGGGCTCGAGCTTCAGGAACTCAGTGGCGGGTCCCAGTTCTACAAGGTGGGCGCAATCCAACCAGGCAAATGCACTTTCTTTCCACACGCTGCACCTGCCCGTCACCCCCACGGGCTTCCTTCCCTGCTGCTTTTGCCCTCTGCACCAGCACTGCCCCTCGGTCCCTCTGGGAGCCTTCCGTCATTTCACGTGTGTTCGGAAGGAAATGGAATGTAGCCCCCAGTAGGACGGGGGTGCTCCAGAGTGCGGAGGATCTGGCCGAGCTCCGGCATCCTGCTGTGGGCTTGGCCCAGACAGACAGAGGGACACGTGGGGCAGTCATCACTTCCATTCCCTTCCAGGACCCTTGGGCAAGGGCCTGGAGGATGCAGGGGCGGAGGGTAGGGGTCCCTTGGGGTGGGAGCAAGGAGGGGTGTCACAGAGCCATGGCAGCCAGCACCCTCAAGGGGCAAGGAGGGTTAAACAGCAATTGAATGTTTTTTCAAGTAAAAAAATTATTTGTTGGCCGGGCGCTGTGGCTCACGCCTGTAATCCTAGCTCTCTGGGAGGCTGAGGCGGGCGGATTGCTCAAGGTCAGGAGTTCAAAACCAGCCTGAGCAAGAGTGAGACCCCGTCTCTACTATAAATAGAAAGAAAAGACAATCACAATAAATTTTTTACTTGAAAAAACATTCAATGCTGTTTAACCCTCCTTGCCCCTTGAGGGTGCTGGCTGCCGTGGCTCTGTGACACCCTCCTTGCTCCACCCCAAGGGACCCCTACCTTCTGCCCCTGCATCTTCCGGCCCTTGCCAAGGGTCCTGGAAGGGAATGGAAGTGATGATTGCCCCACGTGTCCCTCTGTCTGTCTGGGCCAAGCCCACAGCTGGATGCCGGAGCTCGGCCAGATCCTCCGCACTCTGGAGCACCCCCGTCCTGCTCGGGGCTACATTCCATTTCCTTCCGAACACACGTGAAATGACGGAAGGCTTCCAGAGGGACCGAGAGGTGTGGTGCAGAGGGCAAAAGAACAGGGAAGGAAGCCCGCT